ACCTCTAGTACGAGTACCAGCAGCCCCAGCGCCTCCACCAGCTCCAGAACCTTCAGCTCTAGCGCCTCTAGCTCCAGCGCGTCCAGCCTTAGCGCCTCCAGCTCCAGAGCCCACACCACCAGCAGCTCCAGTACCTCCAGCACCAGCAGCACCACCAGCTCCAGCAGCTCCAGTACCTCCAGTACGAGCACCTCCTGGACAAGCAGCTCCAGCACCAGCAGCACCACCAGCTCTAGCAGCTCCAGTACCTCCAGTACTAGTACCTCCAGGACCAGCAGCTCTAGCTCCAGGGCCGCCAGTCCCAGCGCCTCTGGCTCCAGGGTCTCTAGGACTAGTAGCTGCAGCACCCCAGTACGAGCACCTCCGGGACTAGCAGTGCCAGCACCACCAGCACCTCCAGCACCAGCAGCACCACCAGCCCCGGCAGCTCCAGTACCTCCAGTACGAGCACCTCCAAGACCAGCAGTGTCAGCTCCTCCGGTACCTCCAGCTCCAGCGTCTCCAGCCGCAGTGCCTCCAGCTCCAGCAGCGCCACTCCGAAGGCGGCAGCGCTGAGTGTACCACTCGCGTAGCTGCTGCGGCGAGAGAGTACCTCCAGAACCTCCAGTACGAGCACCTCCAGGACTAGTAGTGCCAGCACCACTAGCACCAACAGCACCACCAGCTCTGGCAGCTCCAGTACCTCTAGTACGAGCAGCTCCAAGGCCTCTCCAGCAACGACACTCCGAAGGCGGAGCTGCTGAGCGTACCACTCGCGCGGCTGCTGCGGTGAGAGAGGCTCCCGTAGTGGAGAAGCAGTACCCCTAGGCGCAGCTCCCCAAGACTCCACAACACCAGGCTCCGCACCCGCAAGCTCAGCTTCCCCAGGCTCCGCACGCTCAGGCTCAGCACCCCCAGGCTCCTCACGCTCAGGCTCAGCACCCCCAGGCTCAGCACCCCCAGCAGCACCAGAGTCACCAGTGACCTTGACAGGCTCAACTTAGGGGAGTGGGTCTACCTGAGACACACCTGAGGGAGCAGGACCCTGAGGGGGGAGGGGGTCTACCGGGGGGGGACCTGGAGCGAGGAAGAGTGGCGGGAGGGGGAGAGGGACACTGCGGTAAGGGAAGAGACGTTAAAAGGGGACTGACTCGTCAAACGTGACGTCCTGAGAGGGGAAGACACGGCGCGAGGTGGGGTGGTAAAGTGCCAGCCAAACGCGTCAGGGGGGAAGCCAAGGAAGACACAGGGAATATTGCGGGAGGAGAGCTTGTCCGCGGAAGCATCTCAAACAAAGGCACGACATCCCCAGACCCGAAACACCGACGCATCGCCAACCTCCCCCGTCCAACGCAGTGTGGGCGAGCATACCGGACCGCAAACGGCCACAGAAAATGGGGGGCAGCCGCATGAATCATGGAGGTACGAGCGACCTCCATGACTAAGCCAATGCGGCGCTCAGCAACCCCATTCTGCTGCGGAGAGGCCGGAAGCGTGAACGTCTGGCGGATGCCCTCCCCACGACAAAAGTCCCGCAAGAGGTCGGAGGAAAACTCACCACCTCTGTCAGAGTGCAGACGCAGGACAGGAAAGTCCGAGTGGAACCGCTCGCGGAGCTGGAGACGGACAGCGCGGATCCAAGGGATCAAGACATCAGGGACCTCCCCCTTGCTGCGCAAGGGGAAGACCGTGGTGTAGCGCGGAAGGTCGTCAACAACCAACAGAAAGTATCGCTCGCGGCCCTGTCCACGGACCCGGGCTGGGCCCTACACGTCCATGTGAAGAGTCTGCAGGGAGTCTCTGTCGGGGGAAACGAGGAAGAAAGAGTGGGGCAGACGAGCGTGGGAGGGCAGGCAGAGACCTGGGAAGACCAGAGACAAGGTACCGGGAGTGCATGCCACGGAGGCGTGGCAGGGAGGGGTGACCAAGGCGGTGGTGCCAAAGGAGAGTCTGGTGCGACAGGGCGCTACACGAGCAGGGGGCCGCAAGCTGATCTGACGCGGATGCAGACGCAGCTACCTGGGGAGGCTCAAAAGTCAGTGTGGACAGACTCGGCGGGTGAACGTGGCCAGGTGACGGCCCGTCCGTGCACACGTGCAGATCGACACACGCTGACCCCCAGGAGTAAAGGTGTCAACCATCGCATCTTGGAGGGCAGCGGTACTCACCAAGTTCGTAGAGAACGAGGGGAGGTGAAGACCTGAGAGTGAGCCAGACGGAACCGCCGGACACGGGAGAACATTGGTAGAACGGGCAAAAACTGGGCCCTCTGAGGGGTCAGCCAGTCTGACAGCAACAGGTGCAGGGAGTGGTGTGAGGGCTGTGAAAGAAACAACGGGAAGCACCTGAGTCAAGCGTGAAAGTGTGCAAGGCCTCAACAGGCGGAGTACCAGAGAGAGCAGACTTACGAGCACCTAGTGCAGCAGCCTCTATATCAGGGTCGGGCGGCACACACAAGTAACAGTCACCCTCAGCACTAACAGTCAATGCATACATGGCGGTAAGGATGGCGTCATAGTCTAGCGCAAAGACATCGACGCCCTGCCTAAGCAGCTCTAGACAGCGGGGGAGCTCAGCCGCGTCGCCAAACTGTGCACGCCAGGTGTCGCTCAGACAGGAAAAGCAGCGGAACTCTGTGTGACCAGGTGTCCCGCAAGTCTGACCAGCCCGATCACCTGTGCAAATGACGTACTAGCAGCGAGCACTACTCAAAGACCCCCCACACTGAGCGTACCACTCACAAAGCTGCTGGGGCGTAAGGGTCTCGCGCGGACGCCGCTGCAGTTGCTCCAGGCCACCGCCAGAAACTCTCAACCGACTAGCTGCACCGCGACTGCCACTACTGCCGCAGGTCGGCGGGCGTACCACTCACAAAGGTGCTGGGGCATAAGGGTCTCGCTCGAACGTCGCTGCAGCTACATCTGGCCACCGCCAGAAACTCCCCACCGAACAGCTCCAAAGCGATTGCTATTGAGGCCGCCACTACTCCCACTGCTACCGCCACCGCCGCCACCACTCCCACTGCTGCCGTGAAGGGAAGTCATGGAACTAGCAGAGCAGCACGCAGGGCAGGAAGGGCGGCGAGGAGGCACTAGGGTAGGTCGGGGCGGTGCATGGTCAGGGAAGGGCGGCGCGTGGCCAGAACAGGGCGGCGTGCGGCCAGAGCAGGGCAGCAGCAGGCAGTAGCTCCTAGGGCAGAAGCACCTATGGCCTTTTGTTATTTTTGTTTATGTTTTAGCGGGGCGCTGGCACAGGGCAGAGCGCCAGCTCGCGCACGGCAGGGCGCTGGCGCAGGGCAGGGCGCTGGCGCAGGGCAGGGCGCTGGCGCAGGGCAGGGCGCTGGCGCACAGGAGGGTGCTGGCATAGGGCAGGGCGCCAGCCCGCGCAGGGCAAGGCGCTGGCGTAGGGCAGGGCGCTGGTGCAGGGCAGGGCGCTGGCGCAGGGCAGGCGCGGACGCAGGGCAGGGCGCTGGCGCAGGGCAGGGCGCCAGCGCGCGCAGGGCAGGGTGCTGGCGCAGGGCAGGGCGCTGGTGCAGGGTAGGGCGCTGGCGCAGGGCAGGGCGCTGGCTCACGGGCTGCAGCAGCGAGTGACGCGAGGGGCAGCAGGGCGCGGCGCGCAGGCTGCAGCAGGGCACGATGTGCGGGCTGCAGTAGGGCACGACGCGCGGGGCCGCAGGGCGCGACGCGCGGGCTGCAGCAGGGCGCGACGCGCGGGGCAGCAGGGCGCGACGTGAGGGCTGCAGCAGAGCGCGACGCGCGGGGCAGCAGAGCGCACCGCGCGGGTTGCAGCAGGGCGCGACGCGCAGGGCAGCAGGGCGCGCGGGCTGCAGCAGAGCGCGACGCGCGGGGCAGCAGAGCGCGACGCGCGGGGTAGCAGAGCGCGACGCGCGGGCTGCAGCAGGGCACGACGCTTAGGGTAGCAGGGCGCGGGGCAGGGCAGGGCGTGCGCGGGGCAGCGCGACGCGGGGCAGGGCAGGGCGTGCGCGGGCAGCGCGACGCGGGGCAGGGCAGGGCGTGCGCGGGGCAGCGCGACGCAGGGCAGGGCAGGGCGTGTGTGGGGCAGCGCAACGCAAGGCAGGGCAGGGCAGGGCTTGCGCTGACGGAGCAGCGCAGGGCAGGGCGTGGGGTAACGCGGTAACCGCAGTCAGTCACTAGGTAATGGTGGGCCCGGGAAAAAACGGTCCTACGGACTTACTGCTCTGATACCACGCCAGAAACTAACGAGCAGGAATGCGTGCATTGATCGGAAATGTGGTACAAGTACTAACAAAAATAAGATGCGGTGCGAAGCAAACACAATTTGCAGGCTGTATCTGAACCAAATAGGCACAACAACAGGTTAAATGTCGAAACTCCAACTCTAAAGCTTCATACCGTATTCCCCCGGATATAAGACCCTAGGGTCTTATGCTAAATCCCTAGAAAAAATGGGGGGGGGTCTTTACAAAGAAAAAAAAATTGTAACACCCGGGTCTTTTCATACGGCATATTTTTTACTTCGTGTTTTGAACACTGCTGTTAATACTGAAATGGTGGGTTTGCTTTTGGTGAGCAACAAGCTAGCAAATAGTTCGCTTGACCAGTCACAACCGAATTCGCCTGCCACAGTAGATTCGCCCCTCTGACGCAGCAATTTCGCCCCCTGACGCAGCAAACCGACCCCTGACGCAGCAAATCAGCCCCGTAACACTCGGAATTCGGCCCTGGACAGCCAGATTCGCAGTATAGAATGTTTCATTTTCAAATAAACAAAGAAAAAGTACATGGAAAACCCCCCTACAAGGGAAATGGTGGGGTCTTATATTTATCACCCCCCAAAAGGGGGGTATAACGAAATCGAGGTTTTATAAAGTACCCCCCCCATATTAGGTACCCGGGGGTGTTGTATTTTGGGGGGGTCTTCTATCCGGGGGATTACGGTACTATACTTCCAAACCAGCCATACACTTCGATCACACAAATGGGGTAGCTAAGCTTCAACTGTTTCGCAAATAAAAATCAAACTGTCTTGAGACTCTGGTTTTAAACGTTGAGCTTCACTGTAACATCTTCAACAATGACTGCCTTGCACTTCTCCAACTGCAAGATAGAGAATAAGTGCAGAGAGGTGAAGAGAGATGAGAACAAGTGCAGAGAGGTGAAGAGAGATGAGATTGAGGGTGGAAAGGCCAAGAGAGGGAGAATGAGCATGAAGAGGTCAAGAGAGAGGAAGCATGGAAGCATGCGTGTGAAGAGGTCAAGAGGGAGGAAGCATGGAAGCATGCGTGTGAAGAGGTCAAGAGGGGGAAGGGGGATAATGAGTGGGGAGAGGTCAAGCGAGAGAGGGAGAATGATTGTGGGGGGGTAAAAAAGGGGAGGAGAATGAGTGTGGAGAGGTCAAGAGGGTGGGAGAGTGAGTGTAGAGAGGTCAAGAGGGTATGAGAATGAGTGTAGAGGTGAAGAGTGTGGGGAGAGTGAGTGCAGAGAGAGGGTGAGAAAATATAATAAGTGTAGAGAGGTCAAGAGGGAGAGAGGGAGCGTGAGAGCAGTGAGCTCACAGAGCGTTGGAAGGCAGCCAGCAGCTCCTCCTTGCTGCTGCTCTCCCTTCCCTTGCCTGTACCCTGCTTGCAGCTTTCCTTGGTGCCTTCCTTTGAGCTCTGCTCTGCCAGCACTCGCTTGGCTGCTGCCAGCACCTGCTTCTTCAGCGCCTTGAGTGGCAGCTCATGGCTGGGCGCCTGGTAGGAGAGAACAGGCGTTCAAGAGCACATACATTCGACAACAAAAAGAACAACCAAAGCATGAGATTCCAGCAGAGTATGTTTCGACCGCGTGGCATGAGCGAGTTTTGAGACGCCTCAAAACACACAGCGCAGCCAAAACAACGACTTCCAGCAGATCACGGGGGAAGAAAGCATTACAGGAAACAGAGACCAATCTCTGCAGATCATGGGGGAACGTTGTGCCACGGCCAGTTAGCACTTGCCACACACACCCTCCAGTCGTGATACTTATGAGAATTTGAAGAGTAGAAAGCATTCCATTACAGGAAACAGATACCCATCTCTGCACCTTTCCAACCGTTTGCAACAGGTAACAGCATATCCCTCCACACTGCACTCACTGCCTTGAGCACATGTCGCTCCACACTGCACTCACTGCCTTGTGCACATGTCGCTCCACACTGCACTCACCGCCTTGAGCACATGTCGCTCCACACTGCACTCACTGCCTTGAGCACATGACGCTCCACACTGCACTCACTGCCTTGAGCACATGTCGCTCCACACTGCACTCACTGCCTTGAGCACATGACGCTCCACACTGCACTCACTGCCTTGAGCACATGACGCTCCACACTGCACTCACTGCCTTGAGCACATGACGCTCCACACTGCACTCACTGCCTTGAGCACATGTCGCTCCACACTGCACTAACTGCCTTGAGCACATGACGCTCCACACTGCACTCACTGCTTTGAGCACATGTCGCTCCACACTGCACTCACTGCCTTGAGCACATGACGCTCCACACTGCACTCACTGCCTTGAGCACATGTCGCTCCACACTGCACTCACTGCCTTGAGCACATGACGCTCCACACTGCACTCACTGCCTTGAGCACATGACGCTCCACACTGCACTCACTGCCTTGAGCACATGACGCTCCACACTGCACTCACTGCCTTGAGCACATGACGCTCCACACTGCACTCACTGTCTTGAGCTGCTGCAGAACGAGCCTCTTCCACGGAATCCCAGCACATACTTCCCTCCAATAACTCCGCACCAACGTTTTGGCAACAGGGTGCATGCACCACACCACACCACACCACACCACACCACACCACACCACACCACACCACACCACACTGCACTCCTTGAGCTGCTGCCGAATGAGCTTCCTCCACGGCACCACCGCAGCTCCCTCAGAAGTCTCCGCACCAGCCGTGCCTGTCTCCTCTGCCTCTCTGCACCTCAGCACCCTTCTTCACAACTGCACACCGCACTGCACTCACCGCCTTGAGCTGCTGCCGAATGAGCTTCTTCCACGGGATCCCAGCACCTCCTTCAGGTGACTCTGCTGCATCAGCCTCGCCTTTCTCTTTCTTCTTCATCTTCTTTGTCTTGCTATTTGCCTCTACTGCTTCCTGCTCTTCCTCCTTTCTAGCAGTTTCCTCCTCGTCTCCCCCTTCTGTCCGTTTTTTCCTCTTTGTTCCCTTCTCTCCCTTCTCTCCCTTCTCTCCCTTCTTCTTCCTCTTTTTTCCCTCCTCCCCTCCCTGCACCTCTGCTCCGCCCTCTCCCTCCTTCTCCCCACCACTCTTCGCCTCCTCCTTTGCCCCATTCTCTTGTCCACCTGTCGCTGCTCCATTCGCTGCAACAGCAGGAGCCCCATTCGCCTTCCCACTGGCAACACAATCCGCACCACTTTGCACCGCACTGTCAGCTACTGCACCGTTTCCAGCCTCTTCAGCGGGCCAAGAGGCATCATGCTGTCCCTTGGCCGCCTCCACAGCAGCCCTGGTCGCACCCCTCACTTTCCCACGATGCTTCTTCCCCTCTGAGTGACTCTCCAGTGTCTCCTTGCTAGTAGCGTTCACCTTACACAAGCTGCAGGGAAGGGGAGGAAGGAAAAGAGGAGTATACGCACGTGAGTTCCTGCTAGTCGCCCCCAGAGCAGCCCCTCGGCTCGGAGTGGGTCTCTAGCGTCTCCTTGCTTGCTAGTAGCGCTCACCTTGCAAAGACTGCCCAGAAAATGGGCGGGGGAAGGAGCGGAAGAGCGGGGACGGGGGGCGCAGGGGGAAGGAAGGGAAGCAAGGGGTAAACATCTCATGGTGCAAGCAACTTACCATCCATATAACTCTCTGGTGTCTCCCTGCTAGTAGCGCTTGCCTTGCACAGGCTGCACATTGGGGAGAGCAGAGGGGTACACACACGTGAGTTCCTGTTCAGGGCTTCCCGCGGTGCTTCTTCCCCTCATAGTGCCTCCCCAACGTCTCCTTGTTTGTAACGTTCACCTTGCACAGGCTGCACGGAAAGAGGGGAGCAGGGGAAAAGCATAGGAATCAAGGAGCAGGAGGAGGGCAAAAGTGAAACAGGGGACGGGAAGAGAAGGGTCAGTTTCCCGTGGTGCTTCTTTCCCCTCTGAGCGACTCTCCTACCTCCTCCTTCCCCTCCCTCCTGCTGCCCCTCCCTCCTGCTGCCCCTCCCTCCTGCTGCCCCTCTCCCCTCCCTCCTCCTGCCCCTCCCTCCTCCTGCCCCTCCCTCCTCCTGCCCCTCCCTCTTCCTGCCCCTCCCTCCTGCTCCCCCCTGTAACCCAGTTCCCACCTTCCCCTCCCCTGAAGAGAGCACTAGCGTCATGCATGGCATCAGATACGCCCTGCTGCAGGTAGCACCATACATGCATGCCATGTGATATGCCCTGCAGGTAGCACCATACATGCACGCCATGTGATATGCCCTGCAGGTAGCACCATACACGCACGCCATGTGATATGCCCTGCAGGTAGCACCATACATGCATGCCATGTGATATGCCCTGCAGGTAGCACCATACATGCACGCCATGTGATATGCCCTGCAGGTAGCACCATACATGCATGCCATGTGATATGCCCTGCAGGTAGCACCATACATGCATGCCATGTGATATGCCCTGCAGGTAGCACCATACATGCATGCCATGTGATATGCCCTGCAGGTAGCACCATACATGCATGCCCACGGGGTATTGAAAGCAGCACACGTACCTGCAATACCAGGGGGGTCTGGTCGACAGCGCCATGTGATAGTCAAACCCATCGCCACCCTCTGCGGTTGTCCCTCCTGCTGCCCCTGCTGCTGCCTGTCCTGCTGCCTTTCCTGATTCTCTTCCTACTACTCCACCCCACCCACCCATTTCCCTCCCCAAATTACAAAGCACCACACACACCTGCAATACCAGGGGGGACGAGTCGACAGCCCCATGTGGTAGTCAAACCAATTCCCCCCTCCCGCTGCTGCCCCTCCTGCTCCTCCTGCTGCTGCCTGCCCTGCCACCCTTCCTGCCTCTCTTCCTGCTACTCCAACCCACCCATTCCCCACACCCTCCCCAAACTACAAAGCACCATACACACCTGCAATACCAGGGGGGTCGGGTCGACAGCCCCATGTGGTAGTCAAATTCATCGCCCCCCTCCGCTGCTGCCCCCCCGCCCTTCCCCTTCCCCCCGGCTGGCGGCCTCCCCCCTGCACTGGGGCTCGCTGCGTTGGCCCCCTTGGGTCCGAACTTCTCCTGTTGGCGGCAAAGGGAGAGGGGGGGAAGAGGGGGGTGTGGGGAACACTGAGCGGGAGGCTGCAGCAGGTCGGCTGCAGCAGCGGCTTCCCCACTCCACTCCTGCTGGCGGCCCCCTTTCTCTTTTTTGGGGTTCACTGCGTTGGCCCCCTTGGGTCCGAACTTCTCCTGTTAGTGGCAAAGGGAGAGGGGGGGGGTGGGGGAGAGAGGGGTACACTGAACTCCCCCCTGCACTGGTGTTCGCTGCGCTGCCCCCCTTGGGCCCGAACTTCTCCTGATGGGAGGGAAGGCGGAAGCGAGGGGGGGGGAGGGGAGGAGAGAGATTGGGTTGAGAGGGGGCCTGGGGGAGAGAGTGATATTGAAGCAGCAATGCTGCCATAGCAGCCCTTTCCTCCCGCTGGGGTTTGCTTCGTTGGGTCCCCTTGAGCCCGAACTTCTCCTGGTGGGGGAAGACGGGTAAGGAGGGGGGGGGGGGGGGGGGGGGGGGAGGAGGGGGGGGGAAGTCGGGGAAGGAGAGAGTGGGGTTTATTGCACGGATACATCATGCTGCCGTAGCAGCTTCTCCCCACGCCCCTGCCAGCGGTTTCTCCCACACCCTCCCCCGCCCCCCCACCCCCCCTCTCCCCCTCCTCCCCCACCCTTGGGGTTCGCTGCGTTAGCAGTGTGTGAGTGCAGCGACAGAGCGGGGCGAGAGGGGACGAGGGAGGGAGGGAGAGGAGGATGGGGGATAGGGTTTGGCGGCGAGTGCGGAAGAGAGGTGGCATGGAAGGGAGGGAGTGAGCAGTACGTAATACTGTAGTATTTCAGTTACTGGTTTTAATCGCATACAAAAAGTGCCATTTCAAATCATGCGTTTTCTCGTATGCGACTATAATGGCGCAATTACTGTACCATTTCGGTCATGCACGTCGTGTGTGACTGTACCGAGCGCTGATCAAACGTCACGCCGCAATCAATGCACGCCAGCTGATGACGCTCAGGAGCAGGGGAGAGGGGGGAAGAGGGGAGGGTGGATTGGAGAAAGGGAGTGTAAGGGAAGGAAGGGGGTAACTGTGGGTGCTAATCGAACGTCACGCCGCAATCAATGCACGCCAGCTGATGACCCCGAGAAGCGAGGGAGAGGGAGGGGGGGAGGGGGGGGAGGGAGAGGGGTTGGATGAGATGGGGGTGGGGAGGGGGGAAGTGAGGGAGGGGGGGGAAAGGCGTAGAGAGAGCGGGTGACTGCGGGCGCTGATCGAGCGCCACGCCGCAATCAGCGCATGCCAGCTAATGACTCCGAAGGGGGTGGAAGGAGGGGAGGGAGGGAGGGGAAGGACGGAGGGGGGCTGGGGGTGGGGAGGGGGGGGACGGCGGTTGCGAGAGGGGGAAATTGAGGAGGAGGCGGAGACAGAGAAGGGGGAGGGTGATGATGAGGGAATGGGCGATTGTGATAAGAGCGGTCATGAGTGGTTAGACACGAGAGTCGAAGAACGAAACGCGAGTGTCAAGGGTTGTGTCGTCTTGAGATTGAGCCAAAGCACGCACTGTACGCGATACAAGCGGTCTTCATCTTGCAACGTGAGCGGCTTCCCAAACTACGACCGTCCGTTCTATACTCCTTATAAGCTACTTCGCTGACCTTGTAAGCGGAGCATCGCATGAAGTGCGCGTTGAGCTTGGGCTTCTTAAGCGTCTCGCCGCAGTCCTCGCACTGAAACCACGGCATGCTGGGCCGAGACTACTAATGCGACAGCCTAAGACTACTAATGCGACAGTCTAAGACTGCTAATGCGACAGTCTAAGACTACTAATGCGACAGTCTAAGACTACTAATGCGACAGACTAAGACTAAATGTGGTGCGCTGCCACTAATGCGACAGACTATCCATGCGACAGGCCCAAGAATGCGGTGGCGATCGAAGCGATGACAGTGGGCGGGTGGCGTGGTGGAGACGTGAGTGGGCGGCAGTGTAAGGCGGTCTTCGGACAGCGCGTTTTCAGGAGTAACTGGCCGAGCATTAGCGCGTTTTGGGCAAACGCTGCTTCGGAAATGACGGGAGGAAATGAAGGAAAGGTGGGGTACAGGGTTCTGGGTTTGGCTTGGCCCAGAAAGGCGAACAATCGGTAAATGTTGTGTCCCGAAAATTTTACGGGTACATGCTTTTTGGCGATTTAAACATAACATATATGTTAATAATCATGGACCTAGCTCCAATATGAAGTGCAGACTAGAGTGACGCTTTGTAGAGTATTCAAAATAAAAAAAAACAGCAAATGCTGTCAGAATATAATCCTTGTCTAGTCTGTAGTGGGGTACTCAATAGTGAGTAAACCCTTTTAGGGCTTGCTATTTGTACCTCCCTTCTTTCTAGTCAAACCTCATTTTTTTGCCTAATTCTCTCTTGCCTAGCTAGGTAAACCCTAGCTATGGCTCCTTGTTCTAGCTAATATTCTCACATGGAATCAGAGCTGTTACGCTCTTGGCCTGTGGGCCCCACGTGCTTCCGCTGCTTTCCTGTCTGTCGCGCGCCCCGTGGCGCGGGACGCTTTTTTCTTCCCGCCACGCGCTCGGGGCGCATGGCAATTTTCTGCCCGCCGTGTGCCTCGAGGCGCGTGGCGGCTTCCTTCTTCTCGCGTCGGCCCGCAACCCCGTCGCGCTGCCCTAGGGAGCCGCGCGTGACCCCCGCTGCCCCGTCGACGGTCGCGTCGCCCCGCAACCCCGTCGCGCCGCCCTGGGGAGCCGCGCGCGACTCCCCCACTGTCAGAATCTAGCAGCAGGAATGATGAACTAGCAGCATGCAGGAGTACAAGTAGTAAACCCTAATTGGGTTGTACCCCATATAGGCTACCCCACTACAGCCTAGACAATATGCTGCATATATGTTTGACACACCCCCATAGGCAAAGTGGGGGAGAACAAGGGGTCAAACGACCAGTCAAGAGAAGCAAAGCAAGCTCAGGGTGGATCTCAACGTCACCACACATTCTGAGCACAAGCAAAGGGCCACAAGGCCAGTCCACATGCAGAGATATATATGCAACAATAACAGTACAGTGATGACTACCTAGCAAGAGCAGGCATGCATGTATATATATAGATCACAGTACAAGCAGAGACTACAGCAAGTGTGGAAACATAGGCACAAGGCCTAACAGGGTACAAAAGCGCTGATGATCACCAAACGGAAGTGCCTTGGTGAATATATCAGCAGTGTTGGCCCGAGTGGCCACGTGACGAAGACGAAGCTGACCTCGCTGCTGCAACTCTCGAGCCAGGAAGTAACACAGAGCAATGTGCTTCGTTCTGTGCTCCAGTCTGTGCTCCTCACACAAGGCAATGGCGGCCTTGTTGTCGACGTACAGCACTGGAGGAGAACGAGGCTGCTCTCCCAAGTCAGTCAGCAGGTAGGTGAGCCAGCGTAACTCCTGTGCAGCCATGGCTATGGGGAGGTTGAAGGGGGTGGCCGCCGTGAAGCCAGCAGCTCCAGTCGCCCGTGAGACCGTTGCGCCAGTCGCCCGTGAGCCCGTTGCGCCAGTCGCCCGTGAGCCCGTTGCTCCAGTCGCCCGTGAGTCCGTTGCTCGTCTGCCGCTACTTTCAGCCGCGGAGCCAGTTACTCCAGTAGCCCGTGTGCCAGTTGCTCCAGTTGCCAGTGTGCCAGTTGCTCCAGTTGCCCGTGTGCCAGTTGCTCCAGTTGCGCCGTGTGCCAGCAGCTTCAGCTGCCGCCCACTACCTCCTCTCCTCTCATAGTCTCTTTCCTCCTCCTCACTTGCCCGTTGTGACTACCACTGGCTTTGCTCATAATTGTGAACTTTAAACTATTGCTTCTTGAACTTGTGCTCAGAATGTGTGGTGACATTGTGATCCACCCTGAGCTTGTACTGTTTTGCTTGCTCTGCTGATTACACCCCACTTTGGCTATGGGGGTGTGTCAGAATATTATGCTCTAGCCTGTAGTGGGGTGCTCTATAGCGAGTACAACCCTTCTAGGGTTTGCTATTTGTATCCCCATTCTTACTAGTGCAACCTCTCCTTTGTTCATTTCTTGCTTGCCTAGCTAGGTCAACCCTAGCTATGGCTTCTCACTGTCCTTACTATCTTGACAATACTAGCGCAAGGTGGTTCAACTTCTTCATTAAACGCTTCCGCTATTACATTGTTCCTACCCAGAGTTCACCCTTGCAAAGATCCTAAGGGCTTTCTCAGCCCAACATGGTATGAGAGCTCACAAGGGGAACTCAACTACTATCAAGTCATCACAAGACATGGCAACACAAATGGAAAGAAGCTCCTCTAACGGCTCCCAGGGCACTACTCCTACTCCACCTCCTGCCTCTGGCCTACAGACAGAGGAGGGCACGGCAGTCAGACCAAGGGCAACGTCTACCGAAACTCCCGCAAGTCAACCTGCCAACATCGACCGGAGCATGATGGAGAAGTTCTTCTCCTTCATGTCGTTTTACGAACAACACCAGCAATCGGTACCTGCACTGTCGCACAACAGCAACAACAATAAAGTGACTCCGATGAGTCT